ACACACACACACACACATATATATATATGAATTATTTAATTAATTAATTAATTCATTCATTTAGAAGTTTTCTGCAGACCTCCTTGTGGCCTCTATAAAAACTGATAAAATCAATCCATATTCAATCAGAAACTTTTTTTCTCAGTTGCAGTGTTAGCATAGTTACTGCTGTTTGTTTTTACGCATAGTGTAGTGCATTTTTCATAGCTTCCTGTATCCGAGTAAATTGCCTTTGGTGATTTTTGCATTATTTGACTCTCTTACAGTGCATCTGGGGCAGACAAACACAAGTGTTGTTCTATGCATGTGAAGTTTTAGTGCTAAATCCAACGTGACAGAAACATGAATAAAACAGTGAAGCTGGCATCTTCTCATCCTGAGTTGTTACCCAGCTACAGAGGTATACAGCTTCTGTCAGTTCAACCGGTTGTACTCACGTTGATGTACTGCAGTTCAGACCCAAAAGTATATAGCGAACTCTGGTTTGGATCAAGCAGCGTGTGACATTAAGTGACTTAATGTGGGCAGAAGAGGAGATTTTTAGCATTCAGGATAGTGTTCAAGTTTTCATTGATTTCCTGAGCAGTGATGCACTCGCCTGACTTCTATGACAGTATTTCCATGTCATGTGTTAAATCGCGGTAATTAGAATGTCATCAGGGCTTTGTAATATTATTTAGTTTGCTATCAGCCTCAGGTTCTAAATCTCACGCATTAGTACACAGGCAAATCATCTCAAACACTCAGAAACCCTGGTCAATTAGTGCTTGACCTAGCGTGGGTGTGTTGGCGGCACTGTCTATTTGTCTAGTTATGCTTCTTCTGGCCCATGGCTGGTATGGTGTAGTGACCTTCCCAGAGACCTGAGGGGCAGGGTGTTCAGAATCAGGGCTGCTGACCAGTGAGGTCACGCTGGTGGGTAAAGCTTTGTGGAGCCATTCCAAACAAACACTCTGACCCCGCCATTCAGTCCTCTACCTGTTTTCTCTGTTCCTTCCTCTCTATTTTGAATCATTCAGCCTTGTTTCCATTTTTAAGGTTCGGTGAATCACATTGTAACTACAGGGAGCGCTGACATTTAAAGAGACTGGATGAGAAGCAATTAGCATGCTTTGCAAAACAATTAGAACACACTGACTACACCGATGATCAAGCACTGGCCCCGCAGAGTGTTTACTGAAACAGCCGTCGCCCACAAGCATAGCTCAATGACCACGCCTGTAGCAATCCACTGCTTCCTCAGCAAAATCCACCTCCTCTCTGTCTTTACATGTTCACCATAAAGCAAATTTATATTATTTTGAGTAAATTGTTGCATGGACATACTTTTGAGTTGACTGGATATTTTTTTAAATAAAAGATACAAATGAATAAATAAAGTTAGCCTGACTTTGACAAAGACTTCAGGCTGTATTAAACCCCACAGCAAACCTTAAAATTAAACCCAAACCCAAAAATTCCAATTCTGTTATATTTTACTCACCCTCATGTCATTCCAAACCTCAGTGACTTTCTTCTGTCAAACATGCACACCCAAATCTATATTTTGAAAAATGTCTGTTTTTTTTTTTTGGTTCATATAATGGAAGTCATTGGGGGTTTGGCCCCTTACTGATTTTCAGTGTATGGTCAAAACATTAAAGCAAATATCTTCTTGTGTTTCAGAGAAGAAAGTACTCTACTGTTTGAAAGTTTGTGATCAGTAAGTTTTTTAAGTTTATTATCACCAAGGCTGTATTTAAATACAGTAAAACAGTAATGTTGTGGAATTATTATTACAATTTGAAATATTTTTTTTCTCTTTTAATATATGCATTTTATTATATGTAATAAAATGTAATCAATTCCTGTGATGGCTAAGCTGAATTTTCAGCAGCCATTACTCCAGTCTTCGGTATCACATAATCCTTCAGAAATCATTCTAATATGCTCAAGAATAGTGCTCAAGAAAAACAAAATTGAATTAATTTCAATATTGAAAACTGTTGTGCTGCTTAATATTTTTGTGGAAACTGTGATTTACCTTATTTTCCAGGATTATTTGCTAAATAGTTCAAAAGAACAGCATTTGTTTGTAATATAATTTTGTAAAAAACCTATGAACCTACACATTTATTTTATAAGTGGTTGGTCTACCCATCGCAATGTCTCATTGTATTTACACAAGAATTTGACACAGTACCCTGATGCTTGTTGAGCTCACAGGTAGCTTGGACAAAAACTCTGATTAACTCAGAGATTTTAGTGCTTTTAGTGCTCGTTTCTTAACTGTGTCATGCCTATTTAGGAGTTAAAGCACAATAGCAAATTTAATTTTAAGGGTCATGTAAAACGGTTGTTAAAAACTACTGTTTTTGTATGAGTACATCATAACATAATTAGAGAACCTCAGGGAAATAAAGCTCAAAATGCTTTTAAAAATGACGACATGACTCCTGTAAGTTTATTAATGAGCTCTTCTTCTCTTTGTTCACAGTGCTGGCATACAGTGAAGTGCAGCTGCAGCAGATAGGAAGAATGCATCATGGAGTTGCTGGGAGGACTGGAGGAAGCTGCTGGGATAAGGTACTGGATCAGTGGTGTCACGAGACGCAGACAAAGAATAATAGAATCTGCATAATATTCCTTCCCCTGTCTCCCTCAGTGCCACATTCTCCTGCCCCACAGGGCATTGTGGGTAATATATAGAGGTGATCAAGATGCGCTGGGCTCATGTGCCTGTTTATGGTAGAAATAAAGTGCAGCATAAACTGCAAACAAAGCAGCCAGAGAGGCGCTTAATGGCCTCCTCCTCCATCTTCTCTATACTGTCTTCACTGTCTCTCTCTCTCTAACTCTGTATTTCTTACTCTCTCGCTTTCTCTGCTTGCTTACATCCTTTCTTTCTCTCTCCCTCTCTGTCTTTTTTCTCTTTTAAACAAGAAGCTGGACCACTGAGATCATTTGCTATTTTCTGCTTGTCTCTTGACAACCTGACAGCAAATTACAGAGGCATTTTTGTCGTCTGGTAAAATGTCTCTCAGTGGTCATTTCATTAAAACTCTTTCTATACTGTAAGCAATCCCCACCTGTCTTTGTTTGCATGAGTGTGTGTGTGTGCAGGTTTATTGTCATATTTAGAGCCTCATTTGGATCTCATAGTCCCAGACTCATAACCACTCACGACTATGAAATGGCATACTTAATGGCACTTTTTTCTAGTTTTTCTGCTCACTGTTTTGTACAGTTAGTCAACGCACTTCGTTAATTGCGTGATGTGTGTGATTTTTTCGTTAATGAAATACCTTTTTCTTGTTCAGTTTAATATGTAGCAACAACTCTAAGTAAGCCATTTGTAGGTTGATTTCCCAGAAAAGTGTCAAATATGTGCCTTTATGACATTCATTAAAACTTTTTTCATTTGAGCCAAGGGAGTCTGAAATAACTAGAGAAAGTTATCCATTAGCATGCCTAGACATCTCAGTTTTCCAGCTGGTGCAGGACTCTCTGTACAAGTACAAGACTTCTCTATCTTTGCTAATGAAACTTACACTAAATTTTTTGAGTCCAGAGCGGTGAATGCCATGTGACTAATCACTCAGGAGCCACAGGAAATCATGATGACAGTCCCACACCCATTATCCTGAGCTGTGACGTTGAAGGCAGCAGAAACTCAATTTCACACTTTTAAGACCTCTCCAAACAAATGGCCTCTGGTAAAAAGTAATATAATATAATTAAATATTTCAAATTTAAGTAACAAAGTTGGGATGCACATCATCTTTTGCATGACCATCAGTGGAGATAGAAGCTTTTAGCAGCCATGTAGCATAGTTACAACTATCTATCAGCAGGGGTTAACTGGGCCATGATAACCAACCAAACCATGAGACCTTTAAGAGATAGTTCACCCAAAAATGAAAATTCAGTCATCATTCACTCACCATCATGTCATTCCTGTATGACTTTCTTCCTCAGAAAAATATACTTTGAGAAATGTTTCAGTGATTTTTGTCCATACAGTGGAAGTCAGTGGTAACCAAAACTGTTTGGTTACCAACATTCTTCAAAATATCTTCTTTTGTGTTACAGAGAATAAAGAAAGTCATTTAGTTTTGGAATGACATGAGGATTTTTGGGTGAACTATCACTTTAAGCTTAACCAATGACCACAAGTGTTTGGGGTCGGACTATTTGTTTGTCTGCCCAATGGCGGAATGGAGGAGCAGAATTTAGTTCAGAATTTAAGTATCAGGATTTTTGTGCATGCCTATGTATTTCTCAGTCATTCAGTTTTATGAAATACAGACCACACTTTTTTGACTCAAGAGCTGAAATTAAAAAGGTCTTTGATCTTGCCCTCGTTCTGGTCTGTATTTATTCCTTGTCATTACAGTAGATTATTATCAGTCTTGTTCCAATATATTTGTGCTTGGACGTTGTCTCACTTAGACTGATAAGAGAACTCAATATGAGCTCTTATATTAAGATATAAGCCCATAATGACAACCCAGTTATAGAACTTTAATGCTCTTTGAACTTTCAACCATAAGCAGCCAGTCATCCGCCCCATCATCAAAGGTTCAATCGGTGACCCACAACCTTAAATATACATTGTCAGTCATTAGTTTTAGTCTTAGCTGAACTGTTGGAACAGAATTGGTGCAGTGCTGGCATGGACATAGCGGCTAAACATTTGTTGGATCTAAGTATGTAATGAGTTAATCGATTAGAGCTGGGCTCAAGGACTACGCCATCTCATAACAGGGCTTCCACAGCCCAACTCCCTTTGCTGAGGGAGTTCAGCCCTGATTATCAGAGGGGCTTGGCACGGAAAGACTGGAGCTTAACCGTTCTCTGGATGTAATATTAGGAGCAAGCCACCAGAATGATTTCACATAGCATGGTCTAAATCCCTCATAATTGACTGCAAATCTGAGCACACTATTCTTGAGCCTAATCCAGTTTACTCTCTATCTCTCCCTCTCTCTGTTATAAATGCATGTATATATGTGTGTGTGCGTATAAAAATGTTTACTTTAGATGATAAATGTGTTGATAAACCCAAGTTTCTTTAGTCTCCGTTTACATTAAGGCTGTGTGAGTGTACAGCATGCTGATTCATTTTCAACCATGCAAATGAAATTAGACTCCATTAGTCCTGCTCGAATTAACCTCTATCTTTACAAACATCAGCACATTCATATACTTCATGCTAATATAATTCGCGAAAATATAAATCTCTGTTCAATTACATTCAGCCTTCCTTTTTTGTCTCTCCATTGCCTTTCTCCTCTAGTGTGTTTTAGAAATATCACACAAGCAAGACTGAAAAAACAGCCTATTTAACATCACCTGCCTTTCAGCAAATACAGTAGAACTGCTGGCCACTTAATTAATATTAATGAGCTAACTGTTAGATTTGTCCCTCCCATTTTTCAGATCAATATGAAATCAAACTTTTATTAGCACCTTTGGAAGGCAATTTGTTCAATCAGATTAGAGGACCCGGAACTAATTATTGTTTAGGATATAATATTGTGATATGATGAATGATAATTGCCATCAGCTCTTTAGCAGCGAGAGGTCACTTATCATTTCCTGCCGGCCTTTCTTCCACTTTTGGCCATCTGGTTCGCTGCTGGATAAGACAAGAGGGCAAGGTCTTTGTGGGATGCAATAAAGATCTCTCCAGTTATCTAGGCTATTTATCACCGGATCTCTCTACACTTTCTGATTTTGATTCTAGTCTTTAAATGTTCATTGGGTTTCCTTGTTGATACACATTATTTACTTTACCTAGTGGTGCCGATGGTATCTGCGGAGTGGTTTTGTGGTATTTTTGTTTGTTTTCACTCAGGCTGTGCCTTTTCCAGCTGAGCTGATTGAATGAAGGGCATTCTTTGAAATTAATGATTGTCTTGTTTGAGTGAAAATCACTAAATATTCATGAAGTGAGCGAGAGAAAAACAGAGAGATAAAAAAGAATCCGAGAGTGAGAGGCAGAGAGATACTGAGATAACAGAGTCAATGTTTGGTCTGTACGTGAATCAAAGTTACTGTCACCAAATACGCTACGTGACCGAAAGAAATGTGGACACCGAGCACCATATGTTTTTTGAACATTTAATTTTAAAACTGTGAACATTAATATAAAGTTGTGTACCATTCAGAATTGAATTAAAAATGCATTTAAGTTCCAGTTCAGTTCCTGAATTTGAAGTGGATTTGAACTGAAGCAGAATACAGGATACAGAATTGCATTTGGATGCAGTTTGAATTTGCATGAAAGCACATAGAATTAAACTGAATTGAAATTCACAGAAATAAAGAAAAAAAGCAGTGATGGATGGACAGGTGGATAGATAGATAGATGGATTTACACTCATGAATTTAAAGGGAGTCAATTTGGTTGTCAGTCTCAAACACTGCGTGAACGTATCTACAGTCTAGAAGTGGTATGACAGAATCTGACTGATTATGTCGAGCTGGTCTGTGATTGGACAGTACTAACTGAATTGTTTCTACCTGTTTCTGATCTCATATGGACTGATAACATGAGAGCCTCATTTGCTAGACAAATGGATTTTTTGTTGTGTGTGTGTGTGGCCTAATGAGGCAGCAGGACACACAGAGGAGAGAGCTGCTATACCTGCACAGCATGGACAGTCAGCAGGGGTGGACGAGAGTTTAGCAGTACACACACTGTGCGGAGCAGCTGTCATCACATCCGCTTACACACACACACATACTTTCATACTGAGGTGTGGCTGCTGAAGTTTAGAGAAAAGAGAGGCAGATGCTGTTGGAAGCAGCGCAGTGTGGAGCCCCTTGTTTTTCACTCCAGACACACACACACACTCACACACACTCACACATACAGCTGGCTGTGTTGGAAGAAGTACAGGTTGAACGTGACTTATTATCTAAGCACCGCAATTTGTAATCCTCCTCTTTCCTTCTTTCCATACTTACGGGTGTGCTTACCAAGAAATATGGCACTAAATTTTGTACATAAGTAAAATTTCACATAGCGCTTGAAAGAACTGTAGTTTTCTCCAACAAAGTTGTGCTACATCAATTGAGTTCTTTTTATGCTTGAATGGGTTTTAAAACTTATAATTTCATAAATGTATATTATATACACTACTGGTCAAAAGTTTGGAATAATTACTTTTTATAAGTTCTTAAAGTTTCTTGTGCTCACCAAGGCTTCCTTTATTTGGTCAAAAATACAGTATAAACAGTAATATTGTGAAATATAAGTACAATTAAAATTTTTGTGGAAACATAATGTTCAAAAGATTTCTATTTCGAATAAATGTTCTTTGAACTTTTTATTCACAAAGAATCCTGAAAAAATTTAGCATGTTTTCCACAAAAATATTAAGCAGCACAAACTGTTTTCAACATTGATAATAATAAGAACGTCTCGGTTACGTATGGTAACCCTCGTTCCCTGAAGGAGGGAACGGAGACGTCACGTCGGATGACCGACGAATTGGGATCTCGCTTAGAGAGACCAATCTACTTCGAGTGTAAACTAAACGAGCCAATGCACATTGGCATTCGATTATTGCATCCAGCTGCCGCTGATCACAGCGTGAGTATAAGTAGGCAGCAGATGCAGCGCATATTCAGGTTTTCGCTGAGGAGCCGCTCAGCGGTGGTACACCGACGTGATGTCGAGAGTGACCGACTGAAAGGGAACCATTATTAATAATTGAGCACTAATAATAATTACTAATAATTAAGCACCACATCAGCATACTGTATTAGAATGATTTCTGAAGGATCATGACACTGAAGATTGAATTAATTGCTCCTGAAAATTCAGCTTTGCCATCACAGGAATAAATTACATTTTGAAATATATTAAAATAGATGGTGAGCAAAAGAGACTTCTTTAAAAAACATAAAAAAATTAAAATGTTGAATAGAATTGTTTATGAATTTGACAGGGTTTGTATATTTTAATATTTAATATTTTAACGTTTAGATTTGTTGTTTGTGTTTATACTTTTTTAAATCATAATTTATTGAAAATAAAAATAACAATAAAAATATACTTTAACCGTAAATTAAAAAGAAGCAAAAAAAAAAAAACCTGACATTGACGTATAATTTTGATTCAGCTTTTCACTTTTTAGATGGCAATATTGTTATCTATTATAACCATATCTAACTAGCCCTCTGCTTCTTTCTCTGTTTTCTATCTTCCTCTCTCTCTCTTGCCATTTAGAATGCATGATGTGCTTGTGTGGCTGACAATGAGCTTTCACACTCTGCTGTCAAAGTGAAGTGATAGGAGAAATGACAGACCGACAGACAGACAGATGCCCACTGCTCAACTCTCTTTGGCATACAGAACAACCACACCACAGCAAACATTCAGAAAACGTTTTGTTTGCCTTTCCCTCCTTTTGACCTACACAATATTGCTAAAAATAAGTGGCCACCCAGACACCTAACCAATATGTGCTTGTTGAGCTTTAATAGAGAGTCGGTCCACCATAACAACTACCACTTGATGTGATCAGTTATGAATTAAGCTTCATCTGTGGAGCTCGGTTGACTGAGATGATGGCATAGGTCGCAGCACCTCACATTTATGTCCTGTCTGTTTTTCTCTCTAGTCATCCATCCCTCCTCCATCCTGAGTGACAGTCCGATGTTAATCCTCAGGGTCAGGGGGTGGCTCACCCCTCCTTGCTGTGGTTGTCCTTGGCCCTGTTTCTTAATTCTTCCAGCACTCATTACATATGCCGCTGTGTGTCTGAGACAAGTGGCCATTTGAAACATACTGCTGTGAGCACGCCTCGGTGGCCAGCGATAATTAACATCAGCTGGGGCAACACACATCTATACCTCCTTCTGAGAAATGCAGGATGATGTACTTGACACAAGGAGAGATGATTGAACAGAAGCAAGAAGAGGTTAAAGGGTGGAGCTGAAGAATAAATAAGAATATAAGGAGAAGTTGATTGACCATGGAGGGTGGACGTTATTTCACTAGTATGAAATATCATCTTAATGGCCCTGAATGTGTCTTCATTGCTCCTGTCATAATCATAGAATAAGCTTAAATCTGTTAGGACTTCCATAGACTACCTATAGGTCGGAATGCTTCCTAGAATACAGTGTGAATGTGTTCCAGAATACAGTGTGAATGTGTGCCAGAATGCACTTAGCTCTCGCTTCCGTTTTTACAGTCAGGGCAGGTCACCTCTGGCTGCCCACCCATTTTTTTCCAGGCTGTGAAAGATCAGCAACCTTTTTGTCTTTCAGTTGCGCAGTCTATATTCAGGGTCAGCCTGTCAACTTTGCTTTTTTGAGAAGAGGCGGAATTTTAATTTCTGCTTTCATGTCGTAAATGGATCACTGTGGGGCTTTCTTTGTTCTCGCAAAAGCTTCCTGTCCAGCAGGCCATGTCGGTCAGACATTATACAGCTCAAATAGATGAGGATTGGATCTAGTGCATTTAGGAGGAGACGTGGCAATTCTGGGCAGGAAAAATTATGGATGCAGCATGTTTTGCTGTGTAAAAATATGCATTAATACTGGCATGTGATTGGCAGGGCTGGTTGGGAGGGAGTTACTTGGCTAGGACATATGTAACTTGGACATGCATAAGCATCTCACGTACAGTATGTATTATTGCACAAGGGTTTGAATCAGGAGTATATCAGCGCAAAAGAGGGTCAGTTTGCATCATATCTGCTGCACTGGTCATGGAGTTTTGTTTTTGTTTTCTGCGGTCATCTAAAATAATAACTATAGCACTGACCATTTAAAAAACCTGTTATCATTTATTCACCCTCACTGTCGTTTTTGGGTGAATGATTTCTTTAATACAAAAAAAAATTTTCTCTTTAATCTCTTAATATTTTCAAAATAGCCCATATCTGCTTAATATATTCCAAACTTCCTCTCTCGCTCCCTCGTTCTTCCTTTGATATCTTTTTAGTTTTGAGTTCTTTTGTCTTTATCATTTGCTTTTCTGTGGTGGATCTTTTCACAGCAGGAATGATGACCGACGAACAGGATCTAGAGGCAGCACTCAATCCCGAGTCCAGAGGGTGGAGGAGACGTTGTGATGTGTCTGTGGTTGTGGTGGGCTCACGCTGAGCGGGGAGATTGAAGAGGGATACTCCAGAGCACACTCTCCATGAGCAAGGGAGGAAAGAGAGATCTGTGATGTGGTGAGATGAAGGAGAAGGAGGGATAGATGATGTGGTGCAGCAGGTGGAGATGTTCTCGTAAGCTGGATGATCACAGCCACACGGGCCCCCCTTGTCTGCCGCCTCACTCCAAAACATCCCTAACAGATCAATCCATTACTTACTGAAACACACCGTGGCCTGTCTGTGATTTTTGTCTGGTGTTCACGCTGAGAGACTGCATGTTGCTCTACAGTTTTCAAGGCAAATAAATGTGAGCGGAAAACGAGAGGTAATATTAAATCAACATGATGTGGGAAGGTAATATCTTGTCTATGGTTCTGTCTTAAATAAGTCAAATTTTGCTCATGCCCAGTTTGTTTTGCCAGGTCATGGCACCAGAAAATCAGCAGCATACAAAACACATGAATGTAACATTGAAAAAAATGCACAGTAAGAAAACCCCTGACCTTGTGGGCCACTGTTGTCCATAGCAACAAACGGATGAACCACATTAACATAAGATATTATGGGAGAATTACAAGCAATTTTAGTCTTCTTAGTCAATCTTTTGCTAATGGGTGTTTCTTCAACTTCAGGCGCATTTGTTTTGGGTTTTTTTCCCTGTCTCTGGATTTTTTTTATACATTGATTTTTTTTTTTCCTTTTTATTATATGAAAACTTACTTGGAATCCTTTTACATTCATTCAGTTTTGCAGATGTTTATCTAAATTGACTTACATTCCATTCAAAGTACACATTTTATCGGTTCTTGCTTTCCCTGGGAATCAAACCTTATTTATTTATTTATATACTTATATGATATAAGGACTTATATTTCCTATGATTTTCAAATGCCTTTATGTATAGATTTTGTTTTACCCTTATACCAGACCCAGTCTTTAAATCCTGAAATGTGAAAATCCATCGTTCAATTAATGCAAGTGACTAGTAACAAAGAGTGATTGTCCCACATTGGTGAATTAATTTCCACCATGCAGAACAATTTTTTTTTTTCATTTGTAAAGAATATAAAGAAATATCTCTGTGAATATCCCTTGTGAACAGAATATTTTAATGCTCATCACTTCCAATCAAACCATAATTTCATGAAATGATGCTAAAAGTGTAAAAAATATTACTTAAGTGCGTATCTGTGATACATAAAATGCTAGCAATGTACTTAGCTATATCAAGAGTTGCTTATTTCATTCCAAAATGGTCAAATACCATGTGCTTTGCCATCATTTCTACCACAGAATGCTGTTAAACACATCATTAGAGATGTAATAGAAATGACACCTGTGGTGACTTTTAGAAAAAAAATTACACAAAATGACAGAATTCTCCTGTAATGCATGTATATTTTAAGAGAGTGCCCTTAATTGAAGAAACCGCCCACTAGCAACAAACTTAATTTATTCATTATCTACATGAATAGCTGAGTCCTTTGTATTTACTTTGAGAGACCCAAATCCCCACCATTCCTGAAACCCAAGGAGAGAATGGCGCAATCATTTCCTAACATACATTTTCAGCTACAGAAACATATTTGTCTGTCCTCCTCAATGACCTTCTCTCATCAAAAACATAGCAGAGAGGGAGGGATTGAGAGAATAAGCGCATGTAAAAAGCAGTACATTTCTCTCTCTTCTCCACACTGGCCTTGGGCTGTCTCTTCTGTTTGCATAAGGTCTTGAGCTCGATGAAAAGACCCATTGGCAAATACACCGGCATGCTCCCAGAAGTGCTTGTGTGTGTGTGTGTGTGTGTTTGTGTCTTTGTATGTTTGAGTGCACACGCCGCCGCAACCTTGTAGCCTCCGCATCAGCCTTCAGGAATGGGATCCTACACGCATTTGCAATACTTTCTCTTTTCTTCCTTTCAAATAAGTGGAAGACTGCTTTAATAAAGACATGTGAATCTGCTCTGAAGAGATCTGGCTCCACAGTATACTACGGCAATATATTACATATCCCAGAACGGTTTCCTACCTTGTTGAAGCACACTGCTTAATCCACCGGATGGTTTCCTGGTCTGGCCAGATGGTTTAGACTGGCCTTGTTTGATGGTTTTATAGTGTTTTATAGTGGTTTTCTATTTCAGTCTTTAAAATATTACTTATTTATATAGCTGTTCTCCTCGTCCTTTTCCATCTTTCTGAACCAGAATTCACCCTGTCAATCTCCATCTCTCTGCGTGCACCTCTGTATTCAGGTTCAGATTTGTCTTTATATGTTACAAAAGAGCACACAGAATCCCTGTCATTTGAAAGGTTACTTGGCTAATAGAATTGCCCCATATACAGGGATTGGTATACTAGGACAGATTGAGCCTGTCTCTTGAAACTTTCTCTTGAAATATTTCTAGTCCATCTGTTTAAACATTGCAATTTAGTGTGTAATTTTCAGGCAGCAAGGTGCACAGGGAAAAGATGTAAGACAAGCAACATTGTGAGTATTTGCCCAACCTTTTTAAAGTATCCATTATTAAAGCACCGGTTCAAATGGCTTCTTATCCCTATGCGCAGATTCTCTCCTTTTTTATTTTTTTTAAACCTATACCTCTGGTACACCGCAGTCTAGTGGGAAATGACCTGTATCATATGTCTTCTATAGGTTGTCAATACAGACCATAGTGATTATAGCCGCTGAGATGCCTATGATAAGTGTTTTTCATTTATGTTGTTGGGATATTGATTGTGGAAAATACGGGTGATGTTGTTGGTGAAATTGGTTATGAGAAAATAAGAGAGGGACATGCATTGTAAAATTGTAAAATAGAATATGGTCATTATTGTTATAAGCAGCAGCTGGTTGGTAACCAATCATAAGTTCAGTAGTGAATATTTTAGTTAATTTAATTTCTGATAACTCCTGCTGTTTTCAGCATGGGAGCCACAGGGAGAAATTTTGTTTGGAAATTGGAAAAGAAATTACAGGAGGTTATTGGCAATAGCAGAGTGTAAGTTGAGAGAAGTGTAGATTATAAATACACTTCGCCTGATACCAACAAGAATAGATAAAATTTGTTCAGTCTAAATTAAAAATGAAATATTTTACTCAGTGTATGTGTATTTTCTTTGTAATTTCAGGCTGTTTAGACAACACATTCTCACTCCCAACTCGTCACATATTGATGCTTGGTCAGGACCCTTTGGTGTCACTTTTTGATGCATGGTGCCCCTTTAGCGTCATTTTTCGATGTGCAGGGTCCTACATTGCTTTAAATAAGAAACCTTTGGTGTCAATATGCAGACACGAAAGGCACTCGGAATTTTAGCGTCATGATTAAATTATATATTGGTAATAATTTTGCCATTATTGCATATATATATTGGGGTGTGATCTTTCAGTGTAAACAACAATTTTATTTACATTACACTATTTACACATTTTTATACTGCTTCTACTACTATTTACACATTTTTATACTGCCACATTTTTATACTGCTGTATTCTATGGTCAGTTTTTGCAGTAAATACTTATGACTGTACTTTTATTTGCCTGTTACCTGTTTTTTATTGTTGCGAAGTGGGTAGGTTTAGGGTAGGGTAGGGGTGGTGTTAAGTGCTCCAGAATATCTATGAAAGTATAAATTTATATAAAATGATTTCTATTTTTACACATGCATAAATGCGTCTTGATCTGATGCATAAAGGCAAACAACTGAAAGCAGTGGAGTACCCTACATGTCGAAAAGCAACGCCAAGGGGTCCTGACCAAGCGTCAATATGTGAAGAGTTGGGAGTGAGAACGTGTTGGCTTAGAGTATTAGGTTGTTTGCATAGCAATTGTCACAAAGCAAGGCCAGACACAACAGGTAAGTGCAAAACAGGATGGTTTATTGACTGGGTAAGAGGATGCCTGAGGAGTGAACGGTAGACCAGACAGTGAGTGACTGTGCTGTGTGTGTATTTGTAGTGTGGCTTGATTGGTGACAGCAGGTGCGGGTGATCAGAACTCAGGTGACTGTGATCGGGTAATTATCCTGGATGGTGACTGAAGTGACTGTGATGAATCCCTGACAGCAATATGCTGACACCAAACTCTATTGCTGTGTATGGAGTGCTATTTGTATACAGATTTGCTGCACTGTCTCACGACTTTCACCCTCCCATTATTTCCTGTCATGTTTCTCTTGTCCCTAAAAATCCAAAAAATACAATAAAACAAAGTGCAAGTGATTCCTGGCGAAATTTCTACTTGGAAAAGCCCAGAGAGCTTAAAATATTGTGTCATATATACACCCTACAACATACTGTTATATAACATACTGTTCTATTTCCTGCCGTAAATGATAAAGTGTTCTGGTATGTAACGCTTGGAAAAAAGTGAAATTCTTTTGGCTTTTTAATAGGCACACAAATGTTGCACCGTTTAGACACATTCGCCCACTTCCGTTCCATCTCTTCCATCAGTACAAACACACTTTTACACCTGCTGAGTGAACACACACAGGAGTGGGACTCACACATGCAGTCTCATACTTTCGCATGAGAGTGTGGGAAGCATCACCATTCATTTTTCACACCCTTATCCTCACACTCCTGTTTAAGGAGTGTTGCAAGTTTTACAAAACATTTACCTGTTACTTCTAATTGTATTTACTTTCGATCCTTTAGCAAAAAACACTGTGAACGATGCATTTTAAATGATAGATTATCAGTTATTGTATAAGGTTTCCATAAACCTGCGAAAATAGTGCAGTGTTTGTTTTATATCCTGTTATTCAGCAATCGTGTAGCTACAGGTGGGCCTGGACACTCAGGCCTGGGCCCACCCACCTGTCAGTCAGGCCCATCCAGTCAGTTGCCTCACAAGGTAGCCTAATGAGTGAATTCTTTTGCAATTATCACAATACTTGACCTATAAAAATCAATCGTATTGTTTCTTGATTCTTTTTTGCCATATAATGATGAAGATAAGTTAGTTTTGTAAGTAGTAGTGTCGTAGCGTATTTCACAGTCAGATTGCGAACAACCCCTTGCCACGGTTATTATTATTATTTGTTTATCTTTTACTTTTATTTGGCTGAGAAATCAAATACACTGCTAGACAATAACCAATAATTTGTATTCTATTATATTTTTCCTATGTTCCTAATTACAATTTTATGATTTGTTTATATACTACATACAAACACTTTTTCCATTTTTATTATAAGGAAGAAATATACATCCTACTGTAATATATGCTATGTCAATTAGAACTGCATTATTCAGATGCTTTTTTATTACCTGGAAATGACTTGAAAAACACACATAAACCATATATTATCACAATCGTGTGTTTATTGCCTTCACGTTTCATTAGTCAAAACGTTTCTATTTATTCAGCTTAGCTACAGCAGACATTGCTTTGACTACAGTGATCGCTGGATGCCTTTATCCATATTAGGGTTCCGTTTCGAGCATTCACTCTACATTGTGAAGCATTCGCAGTGGGAACTCCTCCCTTTCTCTGAAAATCCTGAAACCTTATAGGATAACACCAGTACAATAAACTGGCCAATTGTCGCTAATTATGCAAATAGCATGCAAATACTGACAAGCCTGCGGGCAGTATATAATGTGATGAGAGCGACAATTG